TAGTGTGTTTAGCGCTTCTAAACATCTTGCTTGTGTTGGTTCGCATATCAAGAAATCATCTAAATATGCGACAATAGTAAAGCCTCTATGTGACATCATACGTTTGACAGACTGAGACAATCTATGAAAAATATTAGGTGCTAATTTTGCACCAAAAGGTAATTTGTAATCATATAAAGTATGCTCAATGCCATTAGGAAAAACCCATTTAAATCCAGTAACTTGTTGACTTTGCTTACTAATTCGAACAGATCTATAGGCAGATTTTAAATCCACTTTTGCCAAAAAATAATTTGGAGCCACCAATTTAGCAGCATCATCAATAGTTTGAAATTTTTGTTTAGGAAACTCGTCCACGAGATCGTTAACGGAAGTACCTACTGGCCTACTACAATCATGAATAATGCGTACACCCCCATCAGGCTTTGGTATGATGCCTAAAGGGCTAATAATTTTGGGAGTAGACTGCGCAAATAAATAATTTCCGTTTTCTATTTCAATTAAAATCTGGGCATGTGCCTTGTCATAAAGTGGATTTTTCGGGTTTGCTGATGGGTGATTCTTTAATTCTACGAATGAAGGGATTTCAAATTTTGAAATAATGTCAAAACCATTTTCAATACCGTTTAGTAAAAAGGATTTATCAAAGTCATTTTCCAGTTCCAGCTGCCAAACTTTTAGATTAAGATCACGTAGAGACTTTACCCTGAGTTTTTTGGAGGGCCACCAAATGAGTGTGATTGTGCCGAGTGATCCCGGTTACAACCTGGTACTGAACAGATGTGTTCAAATTTACAGAAGGTTGACTGACAACCCCTTCTCCCATTAAACCGTCTGCATATCTCCTTTCCTGCATGAGAATGGGATGCATACCCTGCAGGTTTTGAGGTGCCTTTCCCCCAAGACTTTGAATTATTAGACATATTTACATTGTTAGGTTGCTGGAATCTAGGGCGTAAGAACACTGTTTGAAGATGGGGAACATCAGTGCACCAGCTAAATTTATGTTGGTGTTGTAAACCCCTGTACTCTCTGTCATAAAAGAAGACAGAGACCATGTCATAACAAGTAATTAATTGGTATATGCGCTTTGAATACGACATATAATCTAGATAATTTTGAGGGGTAAGAGCCCCAGTTTCCAGCAACTTGTACATAATAGAAATATTGGCCATTGACCACTGACAAAGTGTTATTGACTCCAATTTGGGTTTTACAGGGCCAGACTTGAACACCAATTGCCCCCCGTTAGCCTGAGAAATTAAACTTTCATTGTTATCAGATTGAAAAACATCGGAACAAACAAAGTCAATAATATCTAAATGTTTAGAGTCCACTATTGGCACCGATTTTAGGCATAACTGCGGGTCCTGCCACGAAAAAATGTCACTGACTCCAGGAACTGTACCTTTCTGTGTGTTGTTCTGGGAAGTTTCTGGTAATCCTGTCGCACTCAGTTGATTGGTATTTAGTTGATCCATCAATGCCCGGATATAAGGGTCCTCTCCGTCTCGTTGATTGGGATGCATTTCTAATCCACTTCCTGTTATTGAACTTCTGGCTCTGATATCGGATTGAGGCTCCGCGTCATTTGCCGCCATGTTTGTCGCTCCGTTAACTTGCGTTTCCTTCACAAATGTCTTCTCCACCGCACGCATTAACATCTTTTCTTGTCCTAGCGGAATATGGAAAGTTTTGATGTCCTCTAATGTCAACAAGGACAACGATTCAATGCTGTTGAATCCATTCTTCAGCAATTCGTCAACGGTACTTTCGTCTAGTTTTTTGGCGGTTGCCCACGCTTGCACCTTTTCGATATCTTCCATTGCTGATTGCTAATGACCAAAATGCGTTTTTGTCGATTTTGTTCGAAATTTGATCAATTGAATAGTCTGAATCGTGAATGTCAGTTTACAGCGATAATCAATTCTAATCTGTGTGTGTACTTTTGCATGGTACACAAAAGGGCACAACGGCAGAAAAGTTACAAAAAATACACCCACTGCAACATGCGGCACAATCCAATTTTAATGACCACAAAGCCCGATTGACATCGTTCTCGGTTTCAGACAAGTAAGAGTTCAAAGTAGAAATTTCTTCGTCCGACAGTTGGAACCACTCGGGAAATCCCAGTATAGCTTTAAATTGTTCAAAAACTGATGCCATAATAAGCAAGAAACGTGACTTACATATGTATGTTGATAAAGCACTCAATAAATAATCCAAGCGTTTATATAATACAAAATTAGTTTCTGCATGAAACTTTGCTGTGTTCAACCACGCTAAATTTTCTAATTGAAGTGAGTGCACTACAATCACAAACCAATCAGCTATTTAGTCATGTGACTGGTCATCACTGGAAGCCCCCTTCCCATTGGTAATGCCAGTCTCTTGACCAAATAAGGACTGTCGTCCGAGGGCAGACGAGCACAGCGGCATGTCTGGCATGTAAAGATAATTATTGATCAATACTCCCCTATGATGCAACGGCAGAGTTAATTTTATTTTGATTAATAATATATTTAAAATAAATACCCCAATTCAGTAGAGTACATTTGATTTTAAAATAAGTACAAATCGATCTTTTACAGAATTTGAAATTGCCAAACAGAAGCTGAAATCGTACCACGTGACATAAAAAGTTTTGCACACGGCACCTTGACTGTCGTCCCTGCTCTACCAAATACTCGTATAATGATATTTTTATTAATTAACATATTTTTTATTTCATTTCACAAAAGATTAACATTTTTCTACCTTGAAGTGGAACTTTCCAAATCTGAGTTTCTTTTTAGCTCACCGGGGCCCAAAGGGCCCCATGTGAGCTTATGCCATCACTTGGCGTCCGTCGTCGTCCGTCGTCTGTCGTCGTCTGTCGTCGTAAACTATTTCAAAAATCTTCTCCTCTGAAACTACTGGGCCAAATACCTTCAAACTTTAACTAAATGTTCCTTAGGGTATCTCATTTATAAATTGTATCCGAAGTTTTGATCCATCAACAAACATGGCCACCATGGCTAAAAATAGAACATAGGGGTCAAATGCAATTTTTAGCTTATATCTTAAAAACTAAAGATTTTAGAGCAAATCTGACATGGGGTAAATTTGTTCAATTGGTCAAGATCTATCGGCCCTGAAATTTTCAGACGAATCGAACAACCCATTGTTGGGTTGCTGCCACTAAATTGGTAGTTTTAAGGAAATTTTGCAGTTTTTTGTTATCTTGAATATTATTATAGATAGATATAAACTGTAAACAGCAATAATGTTCAGCAAAGTAAGATCTACAAAAAAGTTAATAAGACCATAATTGTCAATTGACCCCTTAAGGAGTTATTGCCCTTTAAAGACAATTTTACACAATTTGTTCATCAAGTTTGCTAACATTTAAAAATCTTCTCTGAAACTACTAGGCCAATTACCTTCAAATTTAACTAAATGTTCCTTAGGGTATCTTGTTTGTAATATGTATCCGAAGTTTTGATCCATTGACAACATGGCCGCCATGGCTAAAAATAGAACATAAGGGTCAAATGCAGTTTATGGCTTATATCTCAAAAACTAAATCTCTTAGAGCAAATCTGCCATGGGGTAAAATTGTTCAATTGGTCTCGATCTATTGGCCCTGAAATTATCAGACAAATCGAACAACCCATTGTTGGGTTTCTGCCACCAAATTGGTAGTTTTAACAAAATTTTGCAGTTTTTTGTTATTATCTTGAATATTATAATAGACAGATATAAACTGTAAGCTGCAATAATGTTCAGCAAAGTAAGATCTACAAAAAAGTTAATCTGACCAAAATTGTCAATTGACCCCTAAGGAGTTATTGCCCTTTAAAGACGATTTTACACAATTTGTTCATCAAGTTTGCTAACATTTTAAAATCTTCTCCTCTGAAATACAGGTGAGCGATTCAGGCTCTTGAGAGCCTCTTGTTATAAGCTGCAATATCAATGATCTGGTGCTGTTACTTGGTATCTTCTACATTTTCTGACAATTTGTTTTACCCTTTCCAGTCACTATAAAAGTGTTACAATTCATATTAAGACCCAACACATAAATAGTAATTGGAAAGGTACTGCCATTGCATGAGTAATGCAGAAACCAAAGGATTATTTTTAAAAAAACTGATCGAAGAAACATCATTTTACATTAAGTTTGTGTTCATCCAGACTTTTTATCTAAAAATTTGAGACTTCCAAAATCCTGTATTGGCTGGATCAGAACTCTGCAATAACAGAAAAAAAATCAATAATGGAAGAGTTATTCCGTATTAGCCAAGTTGACACTTTTGTATTGCATAGGCAGTTTTCATCTAAGTAAGTCCAATAACAGAGTAGTTAATTGATAATAGTAGATATAATAGGTAAAAATGTCAAAAATATGATGAGTACAGCATCTGTCAACATTGTGTTATAATCTTAATCACTATAAAAAACAACTATGTCAACACATAAAAACAAATGGCATAGAGACATTCTATAGACAATGAAGGACAAGAATACATAAAATGACCATAGCACAATAACACAATGGAAGATGCATATAAAAAGAGCCACACCAAAACAATATTACCAAGATGGAATAAACAGTTAAAGTTTGAAATATACAAAGATAAATAAAAAGAACAGGCTATTACATGTAATTAAGATGAGAAACAACGTTTGAACCTAGAATCTATACTTAAAAACCATCATGTATTATTTGTGAAATTTTTACAGAATATTTATCAACAATTTAAGGTCTTGGTATTTTTCTATGAACAAACGGAGTAGCAAACTGAATAAAATATGATGTAAATATGAACTAGCCATTCATTGTTACAACATTAGTCAATGCAATAAAAAAACTTACACTGTAGAGAAAACATGATTTGCAGTTATTGAAAAATGTCTTATTATGCTAAATGAATTTTCAGATCAGTGATTAAATGTTTATATTGTTACTTAAGGATTTATTATAACGAGCAAATTGATCAAATTTCATTCATTTTCAGTTACCCCTGGAGGTACCCCTGGAGTAAATGATTGGGTTCTGCCAATAATTTATTATGACTTTAGGTAAGCAATTACAAAAGAATGTTTAGTGTATCCTTCGGTTTGTTCAATCACGTTTTCTTTCAGGATATGTATACCAGTCAGCAAAGCTCACACCTGCAGGGTACCAGTCAACAAAGCTCACACCTGCAGGGTACCAGTCAGCAAAGCTCATACCTGCAGGGTACCAGTCAGCAAAGCTCATACCTACAGGGTACCAGTCAGCAAAGCTCACACCTGCAGGGTACCAGTCAGCAAAGCTCACACCTGCAGGGTACCAGTCAGCAAAGCTCATACCTGCAGGGTAAGAGTCAGCAAAGTTCACACCTGCAGGGTACCAGTCAGCAAAGCTCATACCTGCAGGGTACCAGTCAGCAAAGCTCATACCTGCAGGGTACCAGTCAGCAAAGTTCACACCTGCAGGGTACCAGTCAGCAAAGCTCATACCTGCAGGTTGTTGAGATTGACCCGCAAATCTTGTCACCCATTAGATCAGAAAATATTAAAGATTTTAAAATGATATCAGTTATCACCAGACTGAGTGCTGTTATTTTTATAAGGGGAAATTGGAAGCTGAAGTCCAGGGTTATACAGTCTAACAAAACTACATCATGTTATTCAAGGCCACTAACAAATGTATATCTTGGTGTTTGTATTGTCAGTGACAATATTGCTTACTATATATATAGCTAGAAGGCTGCCCTCTATGTGTCAACAAATTTGCCATCATAAGAACATGTGAAATCAGTAAAAAGGATGAGTGAAATCTAAGGGATTTTTTTTTACTGAAGTTCTGTATGGGTAATTGCTTGACATGAAATAAATAGACTACTGCAAATATTATTTTATAAAAATACCAGTAAGGATCATTCTTGTCAAATTGATTGACTGTTGATGTATATGATAACCTCTTGTGACTTAGATAGATGGAATTTAGAACAGTACTGTCAATTTAATGTATTTTTTTTTGGGGGGGGGGGGGGGGGGGGGTAGTGTTTGTATGATATGGTTTGTTACATTCTAGGAAACATAATACTGGCTTAACCCTTTAACCATATATGATAAACTTTATTGTGATGAGGAAAGATAATCCCTGGTGGTTTTAAGATAAGAAGTCTTAAAGCTAAGCAGGAGTCTATGGATTTGTTACAATATTCTTAAAATTACTCTAAATCATCTCCTGGTATCCTGTTTATGTTATGAACAAATAGTAAAAAGTTGCCAATCAACTTGAGACGTAGTACACATGTTCCCCTATGATATGATCTTTCTAATTTTAATGCCAAATTAGAGTTTTGACCCCCAATTTAACAGTCAGCGGAATCTGGAAAATGATAGTGCGAGTGGGGCATCCCTGTACTATGGACACAATCCCAACACATTCCTGTTTTTTTTTGTGTTTTTGCCAAGGATGAGATATTTATGGTATTACCTTAACTTCTTTCCCATAAATACATAGGCTTTAATAATACAAAACAATATATTCATATTGCTGATAACCCAGACAGGTTGAAGACAGGATTTTAATAAATTGAAAATACAATTCATAAGCATAAATACATAAATAAATCAATACAATTATAAATGATGACTGAGTTCTGATATGCTGTATATTTAAATTAATACCAAATAATGACAAAGTCTCTTTCATCGACGATCCCTCTGGCCAGGAACAACCAACTAAAACGAGTTAACTCTGTCAAACTTCATTAAATACTTAATATGTAGTGGAAAAAAGTTGGAAACCTGTGTCAAAACCCTATGCTCGGAAGACTGTCTCAAGAGGTATACTTGGACGGTATAAAAAAGAAATGAAATATAAGATAATTATTCGAAACACAACATATCTAATCATGAGCAGAAACATGAATTAAAACTAATAAATGTTACATATCTGAAATATGTAAAAATAAACTTGACACTACAACTGTTGGGTAGAAAGTGAAGGCTTTCAAAATATTTTTCCCACATGAAAATTTTCACGTGACTAAATTAAAAATTCATATGCATTGTTAATACAAATGTTCCTGCTATTCTTTTAAACGCAAGAAAATGTAAATATGAGCTGTATTTTGTGTAGATTTTGGTCAAAATTGATATAAACCCAAAAAATTATTTAACATGTGTAGTCATGAGCATCGTCTTTTAACAAAACACTGTTTTTGGCAGAGTCGTGTTACTCATATCTAAATATTGAGGACAATATCTCAATTTGAGGCAGTTTTGGCAGTTTTTTTTAACAAATGCCAGAAGTTTCATCCATATTTTGAATATGTCAGACAATTTTCACTGACTTGATTTTGGTTTCACTTAACTGGTTGATGATTAAATCAGGGACCCACAGTCCACCAGCAACATTATCTTTGCAGTGTTAGAATAAATTATATGTATTTCAGAGGCGGATTTAGGGGGGCCCAGGGGGCCCGGGCCCCCCCTTTTGTGGGAAAAATTTGGTTGATTATATAGGGAATCACTGAACCTCTTAGGCAGTCAGTGGGCCCCCACTTATGAAAATTTCTGGATCCGCCACTGTATTTATACATTATTGAACAAGTATGCTTCACATATAAAAAGAAGATGTGGTGTGATTGCCTGTGAGACAACTCTCCACAAGAGACCAAATGACATAGAAATTAACAGATATAGGTCACTGTATGGCTCCTATAATAATTTGCTAAAAAAAACAACTGCAAAATATTTCATTTCATTACTTAGTAATTCAGTGTCAAGATTTTTTTTACTCAAAACATATTTTAGCATCAGAAGCATTTGCTAATATTATTGATAGTTATTTTACATCATTTCAGTCCTTATAGTACCTAACATAACAACTTTTATCTCCAGTGTAACAGATTCTGACTTCACTGGATATGCAGACACAACAATAAGTAAGCCTACATATATACCAAGTCCATATGGAGCCTGGCTGAAGAGATCTTCCAATCCTTCTTCTGACACCTTCTCTGGATGGTTTGTTGATAATCCTGGCACTAACATGGCATTTAATGATACCATCATACTTACAGCAGATACGGGGGCATCAGTGCCTACTCATAGGTCAGTATATATGATTCTGTCATACTTACAACAGATACTGGGGCATCAGTGCCTACTCATAGGTTAGTACATATAATAACATCCTATTTACAGCAGTTACTGGGGCATCAGTGCCTACTCATAGGTCAGTACATATAATAACATCCTATTTACAGCAGATACTGGGGCATCAGTGCCTACTCATAGGTCAGTACATATAATAGCATCATACTTACAGCAGATACTGGGGCATCAGTGCCTACTCATAGGTCAGTACATATAATAACATCCTATTTACAGCAGATACTGGGGCATCAGTGCCTACTCATAGGTCAGTACATATAATAGCATCATACTTACAGCAGATACTGGGGCATCAGTGCCTACTCATAGGTCAGTACATATAATAGCATCATACTTACAGCAGATACTGGGGCATCAGTGCCTACTCATAGGTCAGTACATATAATAGCATCATACTTACAGCAGATACTGGGGCATCAGTGCCTACTCATAGGTCAGTACATATAATAGCATCATACTTACAGCAGATACTGGGGCATCAGTGCCTACTCATAGGTCAGTACATATAATAGCATCCTACTTACAGCAGATACTGGGGCATCAGTGCCTACTCATAGGTCAGTACATATAATAGCATCATACTTACAGCAGATACTGGGGCATCAGTGCCTACTCATTGGTCAATATATATGATTCTGTCAGCTTCTCTTTATGCATACCAACGACTTAATTTCAGTAAATGTTTCAATATGTCTTTGTGCACCAGGGCTTCAAAAAAGTATTTGAGCCAACCAAACATTTTTGTCTTATCCAGATTTTAATCCCTTAAGACTTAGTTACAAAAGGCAACCATAGTAATCAGTTTGGCATCATATGAATTATGATTGACACAAAAAACGGTATTTGACTTGATTTTTAATATAAATTCGATGTTCTGGAGCTAACTGTTAATTTGACTGTGCTTCATTCGCAGTGTGCAACATAAGAGTATAATAATCTATCTAAGACTCTTTATTTGTGCAAAATTACGCTGTCAATAACTTCACTTTCATTTTTAAAAAGTACTTTTCCTATTACCGCATGTTGACTAGACAATGGTAAAACATGGACCAGAGACGGATACGTAAAATCAGTGTACGTTTTACAAAGTACGATTGTGTTTGAGTAGAACTTTCCTCCTTTTTTCTACAGGAAAAGACTCAACAAGAATGTTACATATAGGTATTAATGATATTTTTAGAATTTATGAAAATTTGGATGCATAGTTTAATCTCACACCTGCGCACATGCGCACGAGTGACTAGTTCAAACCACATGGTTCTTACAATTTTTCTCTTCAAACCTTTATTACTACCTTTTTAAATTTTCATCAAACCATATTTATATACATTTCTGGTAATCTGAATTTTGTTGACTAAATTAGTCAGTTACAAACCGCTGAAATTTAAGAAAATGATTTTTATACGACCGCAAAAAATTTTTTGGGATTGTATAATGGTATGATGTTGTCTGCGTCGTCGTCGTCCGAAGACACATTTGGTTTCCAGACAATAACTTTAGTTTACATGAATGGATCTCTTTGAAATTGATCATTGAAGGTTCAATACCACAAAGGGAAGGTTGGGATTGATTTTGGGGATGATGGTCCCAACCGTTTAGGAATTAGGGGCCCAAAAGGCTGCCAAAACTGGCATTTTTCTACTTTCAGGATAATAACTTGTGTATAAGTATTTCAATTGCTCTGAAATTGTACCACAATGTCTAATACCACAAGTAGAAGGTTTGGATTCATTTTGGGGGTTATGGTTTTAATGGTTTAGGAATTAAGGGCCAAAAAGGGGTAAACAACAAGCATTTTTGTAGTTTCTGGACAATAACTTGTGTGTAAGTGTATGGATCTCTCTGACATTGTACTACAAAGTTCCATATCACAAAAGGAAGGCTGGGATTGAGTTTGGTGGTTATTGCCCCATTCATGTAGGAATTAGGGGCCAAAAAAGGGCCAAAAACAAGCATTTTTCTAGTTTCCAGACAATAACTTGTGTTTAAGTGTATGGATCTCTCTGAAATTGTACTACAAGGTTCCATACTACACAGGAAAGGCTGGGATCGAGTGTGGGGGTAATTGCTCCAAGGGGGATTCAAAAAGTTTGGGGGGTACCAACTTTTTTAAGGGGTTCAAGTTTTGTTTTCAACATTTTTCAAATTTTAAATTTTTGAAAAGTTTCAAGAAGAAATCTTTAATTGCACATAATTGCGCAATAGATTTGTAAGATCTTGACCTTTATTTTGTGTCAGAAACCTATATTATGTCAAAAATTTTATCACAACCCAAATTCAGACAGTATCAAGCTTGAATTTCGTGTCCAAATTTGCCCCAACTGTTCAGGGTTCAACCTCTGTGGTCGTATCAGGCTGCGCTCAGCGAAGCATTTTATTAATAGTTTTTAAATACTAGACTGATAAATATCCAGTACAAAATAGGTGACCTGTCGCCTGAAAAGGTAAACTCAGAAATCAGAGAACTAATTAATCTTGATTGTAATGAGAGGGTATTATAGTAGGGTTTGTTTTGGATAGTTATTATTAATCATGTCACTTATATGACCGGAAATGTTTGGCTGTTTAAGGTAAAAGGTCAGGTCAAAAATATCGTATAAACTTCATTTTTTTTTCTAAACAATATTAAAATGTCTGTTTTTTTTCTTAACTATGTTTTTTTTCTTAACTATATTAAAATGACCGTTTCAGCCTTGGCACAACAAGTCATTTATATAATTTAACGAACTTGTCCGGAAAATAAGACCGTTTTGAAAGCCCTGTTATGCACTCATAGTTATACTCATTATTCAGATATTTTTTTAGAAAAATACGTTATCATTTGAAAAACTAGAATAATTTTTCGCCTTAATTTCTTTGATTATGAATTACAGTGTAAGATGTGTTTAATCACTATTATAAATAATATCACGGGGAGATGGGTTTAAATATCCATATTTTATCAGCTTTCAATATACAAAAAATAGGATATAGCAACCCAGCAGACATTTGACGTTGTATAAACATCAGTTGGACGTCAGACCCTAACGTTGTGCCCAAGTAGATTTTGGTTGTATATGATATTTTTTAGACGTCAAAAACTGACGTCTACCCAACGTCTTGACATACGTCCGTTCAACGTCTGTACAACGTAGTTACAACATCAGTACAATGTTGGTACAACATCAGATCAGCCAACAGGATGAACTCAAATAAGGATGTTCCACGTCTGTACAACGTCTAATAAACGTCATAACAACCACCATTAGACCTCTTTAAATATCCTCAGATGTCTGTACAACGTCTAATCAACGTCCTAACAACCACCATTAAACCCCTTTAAATATCCTCAGATGTCTGTACCGTGTCTAATCAACATCCTAACAACCACCATTAAACCTCTTTAAATATCCTCAGATATCTATACAACGTCTAATCAACGTCATAACAACCACTATTTAACCTCTTTAAATATCCTCAGATGTCTTCAGAGCTAATTAAAGACCAATGTAAATCCTTATTAACGTTCTTAAATTGGACAAATTAAGGTAATGAAACAATAATTCATACAAGTTGACGTCCTGAATAAGTGCTTCAACATATTTAAAACCTCAGAAAATCATTCCTTCCAACAAAGGTTGGTAACCTTATAATTCATGTCTCCACAACTACTTTGCACATCAATCTGCTGTTGACCAGGGGTTAAAAAATGGTCGCATTGTCCGAGCTTGACCAGTAAATTATATTTTTGACTTGATATGTAGAGCCTGAAGTGGACATATAAGGTTTTGCCAAGTAAATATAGGAGAAACCAACAAATATCAATTAGCTAAGTTCTAAAAAGCAGAACTATGAGCTTTGAACACTTGAAATATGTGTTGAAACAAAACAATAAATAATTGAATGAATCTACATATTTTAATGTGGTATTTTTAAAAAAAACATCAATGTCATATTTCTGCTCCATTTCTATTGATGTCTGCTGCTCCATCAGTTGATGTCCTAGCTTTCTTCTTCCGACCACTTGTCCCATTCTGCTAGATGGGTACTTCAGGTACCATTTCTAAAATAAAAAAATGTATAATTTATGTAAAAACCAAACAGTTTAGTGTTAACAACATAATGTCACTAGTGCTGCATTATCGATGTTTTAAGCGAATTTTGAGGCAAACAATTATACCCCTGACTTCAATAACAAATTGTTCTAGGTATAGTAAAAATATTCTTTATATTTTTTTATATAAAGCAAGGGATCATACATTGCAAACACAGATCAATGATGGAAAATATAAATTTTTTTTTCAAATTATCTTGAAATATCACCAAGATCTTGACAGTCACTCATCTTGAGAAACAATAATGCACCGCAAGCACTGAGATTTACAGTCACTCGTCTTCGGAAACAATAATGCACCGCAAGCACCGAGATCTTGACAGTCACTCATCTTGAGATACAATAATGCCCCACAAGCACCGAGATCTTGACAGTCACTCATCTTGGGAAACAATAATGCACCACAAGTACCGATATCTTGACAGTCACTCATCTTGGGAAACAATAATGCATCACAAGCACCATTATCTTGACAGTCACGCATCTTGGGAAACAATAATGCCCCACAAGCACCGAGATCTTCACAGTCACTCATCTTGAGAAACATAATGCCCCACAAGCACAGAGATCTTGACAGTCACTCATCTTGGGAAACAATAATGCACCGCAAGCACCAAGATCTTGACAGTCACTCATCTTGGGAAACAATAATGCCCCACAAGCACCGAGATCTGTACAGTCACTCATCTTGGGAAACAATAATGCATAGCAAGCACCAAGATCTTGACAGTCACTCTTGAGGTACAATAATACCCCACAAGCACCGAGATCTGTACAGTCACTCATCTTGAGAAACAATAATGCATAGCAAGCACCGAGATCTTGACAAACACTCATTTTGTATTATAAAACACCCATAAAAAAATGTATCATACATTGCCAGATAGACCCCTATAATTTTACTACAATTCAAATTAAATATTATTCGTTTATAATTAATTATATTGATATATTTTATTTTATATTTAAATTCTTCATCAATAGATATTTTTGGCATGTTTGCTATACGCAAGAAGAAGTTAAACATTGAAACTTTGTTTACATTCTTCTTCAAACTGTAATAAATTCCAGTCTTTTGTGATACTTTTTTTTATTTTACATATACATGTATATGGGTTATGTTTAGATACCAAAACTATAGTAATATTTGCTTTTTCCTTGAATTTTATGTGCTGTAACAATTAAGTACGGTCAATTGATAAAGCATCAGTATTCATGGTATTAAACACATCATCTATTTCGACGTTATCATATAAACCACTTTGAAATTGGTCAGATTGTGTATTAATTTGCTATGGTCACACGTGTTTCTTATCTGTGTATTACTTCACCGATAACATGTTGGAATACATGCTGTGAGTGTCAGATAGAGTAGAAAAGAATTTGTTTGTTTTAAATGTATTCCAAGGTCAAGAATATCATGTGTTGTAAATCGTTGACTTGTAATTGCATCAACATATATAAATAAGAACGAAATGTTATCGTTTGAATTTACATAAGTGAATTTAACTTCAATAAGGGGTTATAGATAATTATTTCAATACTTGCCAGACGAATAAATTCTTTAATTTCATCCGATGTTCAATGATATATTATTAATCCATCCTCTCTGTATCTGCAATGATAGAATTTTGGAGAAATCGTTACTATAAGTTGAAAAACTTGTATCTAATATCCATTTGTCCATTTTGAACAATAAAATATGTTTAAACTAATATTAGAATATATTTGCCACACACTTTGGCTTTTTACCAAATCATTGTTCATAATTTTTTTAACACATGTTCCTTCACCCAATTTTCAATTTACAAGTCAAATATATCTTAAGGTCAACCTATAGTTGTTCGCTGAGGCTTCAATTATAAATTATATGTGATCCGAGATCTGATCTGCACAGATCACTGTACACTAACAGCGACTTATTACAGCTACAATACTGTTTACACTAAATAATGATATATCTACTATTAAAGCAAACAATAAATGAAAATTACACTTACTTTGCACTTCTTACAGCATCCGTCGTAGAAATTGTTGTTGTAATCAAATTGGCGCACATAAATTCGAAATGTCGGCCTCATACGCATGCGCCAATTAAAATCAAATCTGTTTCGTGTAATTGAAATATTTTACGGAGAAAATTTTAAAACAGTTTATTCATTCACTTTAATCATATCAATTAGATATATTATCTACAGTAATCGTTGAATTTATTCAAAAAAACAAGTAAACCAATATAAATAAAAGGTTGCGTGCCTGCTGGGTATATATGTCCAGGTACGTGTTATTTCGATATTTTAGATTAATTAAGACGTCCGACCGACATTTGGAATCCAATGTTGTGTCGACGTTGTATAAGGTCGTGACCAAAAAACAAGGTTATATAGACGTCATTCTATAACGTCCGACAGACGTTTGCCAGTCGACGTTGAACCGACGTTGAATTTAGGTCGCCAATGTTGCGACCTATTTTCAACCAAATATCAATGTCTGTACAACATCGGGTGCCTGCTGGGAAATATTATAAAACATGTAAAAGGTATAATTTCTCTATAATATATCATTTGTACTGTAAGTTTTTCATACAGTAATCTCCTAAATGTCTTGCCTGTAGTTGAATGTTTTAAATTAATTATGAATTGTTTCAGTACAAATTAACATGTATATTTTCCAGATATGCCACAAACAGTTACTTCCCCATTGATGGCCAGGGTTATGGAGACCAGGCTAAAGACTGCTATGCTGCATGGCACAATTTTGGGTAAAATGATTTTTCTTGTACATTTTTCATTGAATATACCAGTACTGATGTTTTAATCATATGTTTTTTTTTTATGTAAAAGCCTTTAACAAGTATTAAGTTTTAAGTTCAATTTTATTGTATTGGTTAGGTGTCAATAAAGTCACATGACTATTTTATGTTATAACCAATGGATTGATGTTTGAATGCAATACAGCCCTCAAAGTAGCTTCTGAAATAAAGTTGCCAACTGGCCACATGAAAATTAAGTGGCCAACTCAAAATTTCAGTAGCCAGAAAATAATCTCAGGTTGTCTACATTTTTTCTTGAGCTAAACAACCCTTGTGAAATAAAAGTATGAAGTTTTTGGTCTGCGTTTTTTATGCTGTCGAGTGTGGAAAATAGTTTGTATAAATCAACTGTAAAATAACCACATGATTTATTTTATTTTATATTCATTGTACATGTCCATGTTTTAAAACAATCTTTGACGTAAAGTGGTAGCCCGAAGCCCCAGTCTTGTAAAAATCTAATCGGACTTGTGCAGAAGCACTGATGATTGCCCCATCGGTCTTATGGTCTTATGTGGAAAGTAGCTTTGTTTTTTTTTCTTTTATAATAGTACTGATTTCAACTTTTATATAATTATAGATTTACAACTGCAATCAGATCAGGCTTTATATACCAGGGTAACGAGACCCTGACTGTAGGCGGAGGTGATGATGTATGGGTCTATCTGAATGGTGTCCTTGTTCTTGATGTTATCACCAGGAATGCCGGAACTTCCATACCATGTAAACAAATCGACATCTCTGCAGCAGCTACCTCGGGTACCTAAGTCTCCTATAAACACGCAAACCATATAGTTTTTGTCGAGCCTGCGACTTTTGTCGCAGAAAGCTTGACATAGGGATAGTGATCCGGTGGGGGCGGCTTTAGCTAACTTCTTAAAAGCTTTATATTTTGAAGGTAGAAGACCTGGATGCTTCATACTTTGTATATGGATGCCTCATATTACGAAGTTTCCGTCAGTCACATGTCCAGTGTCCTTGACCTCATTTTCATGGTTCAGTGACTACTTGAAAAAAAAGTTAAGATTTTTTGTAATGTTAAATTCTCTCTTATTATAAGTAATAGGATAACTGTATTTGGTATGTGCCTACCCTGCAAGGTCCTCATGCCCATCAGACAGTTTTCACTTGACCTCAACCTCATTTCATGGACCAGTGAACAAGGTTAAGTTTTGGTGGTCAAGTCCATATCTCGGATACTATAAGCAATAGGTCTAGTATATTCGGTGTATGGAAGGACTGTAAGGTGTACATGTCCAACTGGCAGGTGTCATCTGACCTTGACCTCATTTTCATGGTTCAGTGGTTATAGTTAAGTTTTTGTGTTTTGGTCTGTTTTTCTTATATTGTATGCAATATGTCTACTATATTTGTTGTATGGAATGATTGTAAGGTGTACATGTCTAGCTGGAAGGTGTCATCTGACCTTGACCTCATTTTTATGGTTCAGTGGTCAAAGTAAAGTTTTTGAGTTTTTGGTCTTTTTTCTAATACTAGATGCAATAGGTCAACTATATTTGGTGTATGGAAATATTTTATGATCTCTATGTCAGTCGTGCAGGTTTTATTTGACCTTGACCTCATTTTCACAGTCCATTGCTCAGTGTTAGGTTTTTGTCGAGCCTGCGACTTTTGTCGCAGAAAGCTCGACATAGGGATAGTGATCCGGCGGCGGCGGCGGCGGCGTTAGCTAACTTCTTAAAAGCTTTATATTTTAGAGGGTGGAAGACCTGGATGCTTCATACTTTGTATATGGATGCCTCATGTTACGAAGTTTCCGTCAGTCACATGTCCAATGTCCTTGACCTCATTTTCATGGTTCAGTGACTACTTGAAAAAAAAGTTCAGATTTTTTGTAATGATAAATTCTCTCTTATTATAAGTAATAGGATAACTATATTTGGTATGTGCGTACCTTGCAAGGTCCTCATGCCCGTCAGACAGTTTTCACTTGACCTCGACCTCATTTCATGGATCAGTGAACAAGGTTAAGTTTTCGTGGTCAAGTCCATATCTCAGATACTAAAAGCAATAGGTCTAGTATATTCGGTGTATGGAAGGACTGTAAGGTGTACATGTCCAACTGGCAGGTGTCATCTGACCTTGACCTCATTTTCATGGTTCAGTGGTTATAGTTAAGTTTTTGTGTTTTGGTCTGTTTTTCTTATACTGTATGCAATAGGTCTACTATATTTGGTGTATGGAAGGATTGTAAGGTGTGCATGTCTAGCTGGCAGGTGTCATCTGACCTTGACCTCATTTTCATGGTTCAGTGGTTATAGTTGAGTTTTTGTGTTTTGGTCTGTTTTTCTTATACTGTATGCAATAGGTCTACTATATTTGGTGTATGGAAGGATTGTAAGGTGTACATGTCTAGCTGGCAGGTGTCATCTGACCTTGACCTCATTTTCATGGTTCAGTGGTTATAGTTGAGTTTTTGTGTTTTGGTCTGTTTTTCTTATACTGTATGCAATAGGTCTACTATATTTGGTGTATGGAAGGATTGTAAGGTGTACATGTCTAGCTGGCAGGTGTCATCTGACCTTGACCTCATTTTCATGGTTCAGTGGTTATAGTTGAGTTTTTGTGTTTTGGTCTGTTTTTCTTATACTGTATGCAATAGGTCTACAATATTTGGTGTATGGAATGATTGTAAGGTGTACATGTCTAGCTGGCAGGTGTCATCTGACCTTGACCTCATTTTCATGGTTCAGTGGTCAAAGTTAAGTTTTTGAGTTTTGGACTTTTTTTCTAATACTGCATGCAATAGGTCTACTATATTTGCTGTATGGAATGATTGTAAGGTGTACATGTCTAGCTGGCAGGTGTCATCTGACCTTGACCTCATTTTCATGGTTCAGTGGTCAAAGTTAAGTTTTTGAGATTTGATCTTTTTTTCTAATACTATATGCAATAGTTCAACTACATTTAGTGTATGGAAATATTTTATGATCTATATGTCAGTCACGCAGGTTTTATTTGACCTTGACCTCATTTTCAAGGTTCATTGCTCAGTGTTAAGTTTTTGTGTTTTGGTCTGTTTTTCTTAAACTATAAGCAATAGGTCAACCATACTTGTTGTATGGAAGAATTGTTAGCTGTACATGCCTGCCTAGCATGGTTCATCTGACCTTGACCTCATTTTCATGGTTCATTGGTCAATGTTTAGTTTACTTGGTTAATGTTAAGTTTATGTGACAGTTGTATTAAAGCTTTATATTTAGGACTATCAACATAATATCAATGATTAGTAAAGAAGGCGAGACATTTCAGCGTGTGCACTCTTGTTGTGTTTTGATCTGTTTTTCTTAAACTATAAGCAATAGGTCAACTATATTTGTTGTATGGAAGAATTGTTAGCTGTAAATGCCTGCCTAGCATTGTTCATCTGGCCTTGACCTCATTTTCATGGTTCATTGGTCAATGTTTAGTTTTCTTGGTTAAAGTTAAGTTTATGTGACAGTTGTAATAAACCTTTATATTTAGGACTATCAACATAATATCAATGATTAGTAAAGAAGGCGAGACATTTCAGCCTGTGCACTCTTGTTATATTTTTCACCCCTGGAACAATTTAAAAAAAATGCAAGACAAAGGGATGATGATCAGTCACAGTGAAAGTAAATTGTTTAGATATTAAGCATTAAGAAGCGTAGAGACTTGCATACTGTGGATTCATTTATTTTCATGGATACCAATTTTCCAGGTTTGAGGAAAATGTTCATATTCGTTGATATTTAATTTCATTGTTTTGGAAAAGTCTGCATACATTTCTTTAGAACATTTGTAATTTGTTGGACTTTAAAATTCAGGTTTTCTCTGTGCCCATGAAAATTGGTATCTAACAAATTTTAATGAACCCACAGTATATCAATTACCTTTACCTCATTTTCATTGCTCAGCTATTTCTATCTGTGTTTTTTCCAGCTATTATGAATAATAATTTATTTGGTTTAGAGAATCATTTTAAAATGCACATGTCATCAGACAAGGTTAAGTGATAAACTTTGAAGTTTTTTAAATAAGTTGATTTTCATGTTTGAATGGTTATATACTAGTAATTTTTGGGTCCCTTTATAGCTTGCTGTTCGGTGTGAGCCAAGGCTCCGTGTTGAAGGCTGTACCTTGACCTTTAATGGTTTTCTTTAATAAAGTGTTACTTGGATGGAGAGTTGTCTCATTGGCACTCATACCACATCTTCCTATATCTACTTATAGTTTTCAAAGTAACAGAAAAAATGTGAAACATTGGAATAATTTTAATTTTAGGGACAATAGCTCATAAACATGTTGACTTTTTCTAAAATTTGCACTGTTAATAAATCTTCTTGTGCTGAACATTTTTGCAACTTACACATTTAACCTAGCTCCTATATTTTTCATGATATCAGTCATAGATATCTAAAAAAATCATATATTCCTCTCTAAAAAGTCCAAAACAACATATTTCTGACTATTTTCAGTTGTAAATACTCCAAAACAACAGATTTCTTACCATTTTCAGTTGTAAATACTCCAAAACAACAGATTTCTCTCTAATTTCAGGATGGATACATCTTGTCATGATGATCATTGTTGCAATTTGCACTTTTAATATAGCCCTTATAATTTTTTAACAATTTAAAGGATTCCAAAGAATTGGGCAACTACTCTAAAATATGTGGAAAGATTTGCTAGTTTTCAGAGTAGATAGAACTGATGGCCATGTCTCTGTAGTTGTCAGAAGTATCTCTTTAATGAACAATATTAGAGATGATTGTTTAAATCAATATAATGTAAGTTCAGAAATTATTGCAGGCATTTATTATTACCATTTTAGAAGAAAAGACAAAAATGTGAGATTTAAATATTGCAATTTCAGGAAAATCTGCATTCAGATATATTTAGGTGCAATACCACCAAATCATGGTACGTCACATCCAGTTGTATACGAAAATAGGTCGAAAAAAAATATTCCCTTGAATTTGACAGTTGTAGGTAATTAATCCTACATTTTATTGCAGTAAAACATTTTTGTGTCATAAACATATGTCTTGGGTATTTCAAAGCACCATTATTTTTTTATTTGGGGTTTCTATAGAATATTTTGTAAACTTGAGGTTACATGGTTACTAAATCTTGTACACAGGAGAAATTTGATTGGTTAACTTCCAGTGATGGTTATTTTCTTATATGCAATGAAATTTTATGTGAATTTTTTTCTATTATAAGTACTGGACAGGATAAAAACATTTTTTTTGAAAAGTGCAAATTTAACAAAGACTAATAGGGGAAAATCAATGGTGGTATTACACCTGTATCAGATAGCAGGATGCCATTTCTTATTATTGTGATGTTCACCCAGTTACATGATTCTCACTAATAAAAACCTTGCAATAATTTCTGATTTACAGTAAATTTGAAATAATTTGTTGAGTTTTAATTATACTTTTAATTTTAGGTGGAGCCACCATCACTCCACACTATGGTACAGTATCAGGAAGTTCATGTATTATAACAAGTACAGTACCTTCTGATGCTATCACACTGGAACTGGAGGTAACGTCTTTGTAGGTCCTTTAAAGTTTTCTGTCTTATTACAGTGCTGTAAAACCTTATGTGGTCTACTTGCCAATTAAAATCAGACAGTTCACCCTTCATTATAGATGGCATTCAGACCATCTGCTACAGTAATTGAAAATGCTTGATTTTGTAAAAATACTAATATACCTTTTTACTATATAAGTTTTGTACATTGTTGAAGGCAGTAATTTATCTATAGTTGTTAACATTCATGTTCTCTGTTGGATAGATGTTTCATTGGCTATCATACAACATCTCCTTTTTTTTAATTTTGGTAGCCGGGACTATTTCAAACAATGAAAATCATGCGCAAGTCTTCCCTTCAACATAAGTAGATATTGTTTAACCCTGCCGCAATTTTGCGCCTGTCCCAAGTCAGGAACCTCTGGCCTTTGTTAGTCTTGTATGATTTTTAATTTTAGTTTCTTGTGTATAATTGGGAGTTTAGTATGAGGTCCTTTATCACTGAACTAGTATACATATTTGTTTAGGGGCCAGCTGAAGGACGCCTCCCGGTGCGGGAGTTTCTCGCTACATTGAAGACTCATTGGTGACCTGAGGCTGTTGTCTGCTCTATGGTCTGGTTGTTGTCTCTTTGACACATTCCCCATTTCCATTCTCAATTTTATTGATGGTGAAACAAAGGTAAAAGCTTTTGACATTTTTGTGCTTTGTAAAGAATGTTACCATAAAAGATTGGATGTGAAATACCTGAACGTATAAGAAGTCTGCATGTTGAGTTATATTTACGAATGATGTCCTTGTACCGATGATAAAATTTAGTAAATGTTTTGACTAGTTTGTGATATCGAAAACCCTGGTGTAATAATTTTTCAGTAATACATAAATTTCTCTAGTTAATATCTAAAACGTTGTTACAAACACGAGCGAATCGTACAAGTTGAGATATATAAACACCGTAAGATGGTGACAAGGGAACGTCACCATCTAAAAATGGATAATTAACGATAGGAAATGAAAAATCATCTCTTTTATCATAAATTTTTGTATTAAGCTTTCATGTTGACATTCTTGTCCTTTAAATAGCTTAACATGCACAATATTAATGCATGTGTTATCCATCTCTAGCTAAGAGGTTAAATTGAAGTTCACATGAATACAGATTCAATGAGGTCGAAGTTATTCACTTGCAACTTTGCAAGTTAATAATTCATCATCAATGTTTTCTTAGCTTATTTTGACAAAATTGAAACATAGTGGCTGCTTAATGCAAATAGTTATTATTTCACTATGTCACTTTCAATAATGATTGAACAAAAAAAAAACTCATACTTCAGATTTTAGTAGTTTAAGTGCCCCTTTATAGACCAGTTATTTCCTAATGTAAAATGACGACAATATTTGGATATCTACATGTACAAACAAACTAGCAAATGTCTCATGTCATATACCACAATAATCAAGCTGGATACATGTATTAAAAAAGCCAATCTTTGGAACTTTACCAACCTATTACTATTTCTTACCTTAAAGACCAAACAACATTGTGACCTGAGCAAACTATACCAACTTATAAGTCCTATACTGTAGTATTAAATAAACTATTGCCAAGTTTGAACTGATGCTGCTTCTAAGGGCACTCATATCACATCTTCTTATATCTATATACGAGATTCTATTCTTTTTGCTGTCTCACGGATTTATACCAGCACCTCTGTCATACTTTGAATCTATCTATGTTCACAACAATAGGATAAAAGAAACATTTTATTACTAACTAAAAATGTCTAATCTAACAACATATATATATATTTACATAAACAAATTACAACTTGAAAAAACTGGGGACTAACAGCTGTTTGACACTTTTGAAATTAAAATTGAGTTATCCCCCTTTTCATATAAATATAAAAATTAAAACTTGGGGAATAAGATACAAAGGCTAATGTGTAGAATTTGTATCGAATTAGCATACCAAAGTATAATATAACTGAATAAACATATGATTTAGTATTAATAAGCACAAAATTAAGTAATGCAAAAAAGTGGAAAGTATTTAGACAAAGAATTTCCGTACGTCAGTATGGATAGTAAAAGGCACAGTAGACCATTTGTTAGCATGGATAATAAAATACTGAGATAGTTCACACATCAGCATGAATATAAGATAACAAGAAAAAGAGACATACGTCAGCATGAAAAGAAAAATCAAGTAAAACCCATACGTCAACATGGATAGTATAAGACAAGAAGAATCCATACGTCAGTATGGATAGTAAAATATAAGAGATCCATACGTCAGCATGGATAGTAAGATAAAGAGATCCATACGTCAGCATGGATAGTGGAAGCAGGTTGAAACCATACGTCAGCATGGATTGAAAAAACATTAATTCCATACGTCAGGATGGATAGTAAGAAACATAAATTCCATACGTTAGCATGGACAATAAAGCATAAAAAATCCATACGTCAGCATGGATATCAAATCAACAACAGAAAAATCCAAACGTTAGCATGGATAATAAAACAAAAATACACATGGGATAAGTAAGTGATATAAACAATGCATAAATTTTACTAAAAAATAATAAGAAATACATAGTATGTCCATAAAAATTTACTTTTAGTATCTATAAAAATTAATTGTCCCCAGAGGCACTGACAACAAAGGCGATTGTAGGGTATGGCGGTGGGTGATGAAGTTCTAGATATAATTTTTCAAACAAGAACTATGCTCTGCACATGAAAGGAACAAAGAGGTTATTGAAATCTGAATTATTTAAATCCCAATTAAAGTTGTAACATAGCAGTTGACCTTCATGCCATACAATATCTAGGCCTAGAGAATCTGACCCTTTGGATGTGTTGGCAATGGACATGGTGTGTTGATTAGAGGTTTTCATCTGACACATAGCTGAAGTATGCAGTGTTGAACTGCAGAAAGAACAGGAATTTACTTTGGAACCAGCACAGATTTTTTGGCGTAATGCAAAGTCACCCTTTGACTAATCAATTTTAAGATTATGCTGAAGAAGCATAGTTGCACATTTTGCAGAAAACATTCTGTGATACTCGAAAAACTTGTATGGCCAAATTTTAGCTGTTTTTACAATGTGGGCCAAATAGAGTTCCAATTCCTCTCCCCTAGATGGAAAAGCAGAACACACTATCCTTTTGAAACGGCCAAAAGCGATAATAAATTCATCTAGGGACAAGTTAGGCATCAATCGGTTATCATTTTTTAAAGTTTTCCTCTTAACAGGAATTTCATAATTTGGTATTGAAAGGGAGTTTAAGTTCCCTTTTTTACCTGTGATAATATTCTGTCTGATTTCCGGCGAAATCATATCCGTATCGCTGATAGATGAAGCTGGCACACCAAACGATTTAACGGAGTATACTGGCATAATTCTGTACGAGTCGTTTTGAGCGAGACGATTTGTTGTCAGTGCCGTTTCAGCCATTGGGGTTGTTATAGAATGGGGGATGAAGGATGCCACCATAGCTGATTGTAGATTGAAAGATGGTGTTGATGTTTCTTGTAACATAGTTCTATAGTGTTTATCAACATGTTGTTGACTTGGGCGGAAGCTGCCCCTTGCAGATGCACAGACATCAGAGTATTTATGTCTGGATTAATCTGCGGCAATGTATTTGAAGCAGAATTTATATTTGCTGAATTTACACTTTCTTCTATAACACGGTTGGGATCATTGTTTGCTGGAATATTTTCGTCAGTTGAATTGTCTACAGAACTATTATTTGTGACGATAATAGTTGGATTGTCTGAAGAGTCAGGACTATTTCGTACAACATTTTGCATGTTTCTCCTGTTGTCTACATTGTCTAAATACAATTTTCTGAGCGCACTTTATTCAATTGAATAGAAATGTTTATGCCCAATTCCTTTAACGCATCCTTTAATTGCAAACTTGTCCAGAGAGAGCCGTGGTGTAGTGGTTAGTGCATCGGACTACTAACACAAAGGTTCTTGGTTCGATTCCCTTCTGGGATGAAAATTTCAGGGACTGAATTTTTGGCTCTCCCTTGACACCATTTGCAAGTATGGTCTTGAGGAAACGATGATAGTCCGTCGGAAGGGGACGATAAATGGCTGACCCTTGTTAAGAGAGAGCCATATCTCTTGCATGTTTAAGACACCCTTGTAGATTTCGAAAAAGAGCAGGCCAATGCTGCTACAAGGCAGCACTTGCACCCGCAAAATGGAAAGGGATTAATATAAGTTTCAAAACTTGTTTCCCAATCCACTATAAATAAATATGTTTAAACTAAACTTGTCCAATTAGCGGGATTAGAATTGTCAATATGGCTTCTGGTCCTTACATGTCTGGAGGCCGTGATAAATTCCAATATTTATAAAAGTTTCTTTCTAAACTTGACTAGCACATAATTGATATGTCAAAATAGACTGCAATCACGATATATACGATAAATCCAAATTTAAGTTGAATAAATAAGTTAAATGTACACAGTTGATGAAATTCTAGATATAAATTTTCAAACGATAACTCTGCACATGAAAGGAACAAAGAGGTTATTGAAATCTGAGACGTCTTGTACATTGTACCAAAGTGAGGCTGGAATGACCACTTGGATGAAATTCCTTAAGAGGGACACCAGGGTAATGACAGCTATAAACTATAATTGCCTTTTAACTAGCAATTTAAAAATCTGACTTGATCAGTGTGTCTGTCTAGAACAAAATAGGTAACACATTCATATCACATAAATATGTTCTCGTTCTTAATATGCATTACATTTCAATCCATCATCATCATCATCATCATCATCGTTGATACTAAATGTTTGATTGTAATTATTTGTTCTGACAGTCAGGAGAAAGATACCACTTTAGCATTTACCATGTAGAGAGACTAGCCTGTTCATCCAGCTTGTTTATAGAAACCACCAACTTCCAGTTCATAACTGACCCGGAAGATGAACCTCCTAGAGATTATGTGGTATCCTTGAATGAAGATTTCCATTTGAATGGCATAGTAGCTGAACTTGCTTTGTCTGATATTTTCTCTCAGGGTCCTCCATTTGATATAAGTATATTGAGAGGTATAAACTTATTTTATTATATCCCTTCAATCCTTTCATGATGTAATGTCACAATAACATATCCTGGGGTACAGTGGGAGTGTTGAATACTGTAGATTCATTATTATTCGTTGGATACCAATTTTCGTGGATTTCGTGGCTATGGGTGCACCACAAAATCAAATGTTCAACGAATGACAATTTTTCGAAAAACTTGTATGCAGGCATAGGCAAAACCACGAAATCAAATATACACGAACATATAAGTTTTCCTCAATCCACGAAAATTGGTACCAACGAAAATAAATGAATCCACAGTATCAAGTAAATGTATTTTTATTCAAATGGAATTTACGGCTAAGTTTTAACCAAATTGATTTTAAAAATAACACATAATATACAAGGTTGATGCTGATTAAAAGTTTAAGGTTTTTTATCTAAGTTATTCAGTAAAAGTGTTTTCAACCATGGAATTGATAGCTGTCACCATCCAATCAAAATTGTTGTTTCATGCCTAAACGATTAGCATATGGAATTAAATGATGAATTATTCCTCATATTTCTGGACTTTGAAAATTTAATCATTTTTTTACATTGACTAGTCACAAAATATTGCAAGCAATAGATATAGGAAGATGTGGTATGAGTGCCAATGAGACAACTCTCCATCCAAGTTACAATTTATAAAAGTAAACCATTATAGGTCAAGGTAGGGTCTTCAACACGGAGCCTTGGCTTACATTGAACAGCAAGCTGTAAAGGGCCCAAAAAATTACTAGAGTAAAACCATTCGAATGGGAAAACCAACGATCTAATCTATATAAATCTATATATAGGCCATTTGAAATTTGATTCATTATTTTATCTTGTACAGGAAATGAGGCCCGTCATTTTACCTTGAAAGATGATACAACGACATCCAGGACAGCTGCTGTGGCACCAGCTGTAGTACCACCAACATACACTACCATTGATGGACTGTCATATGTAGGTAAGGAAAAACACATGATAATTATATGGTGAACTTTTAAAATATATAATTATAGATAATAAAGACATCAACACCCATGTTATACTGCTAGATTATATTTATATGTTTCACCACATGAGTGGCGTCATCAGAACGATTACAATAATAAAAATTATGCCGGTGTCATATGGTATTTTGAACCCCCTAAAAAGTGAACCCAGGGTCAAAATACCATGCGGTATATATTTATAATACTCCAAGAAGTAGTTTGTATGTATTTAATTTGCTTGAAAAGATATTTGAAAATTTTACTTTGCCATGGTATTTTGACCCCCCTCCCTACCATGGTACATGTATATTGAACCCCCTTCTAAAGACCTTTAATTTAAAAAATTCTAGCTCTTGTGTATAGTAATTGTACTCCAATAAGTAGTTTGTATGTATTTTCTTGCTTGAAAAGATGTTTTGAAAATTTTACTTAGCCATGGTATTTTGACCCCTGTCAATCTCAAAATTCACCCCTACTATAGACCTTTACTTTCAAAAATTCTGGCAATTCTAACTCTTGTATATAGTTATAATACTCCAATAAGTAATGTGTATGTATTAAACTTGCTGGAAAAGATATTTTGAAAATTTTACTTTGCCATGGTATTTTGACCCCCCTGCCATGGTATATTGAACCCCCTGCTATAGACCCTTAAAGACCAAACAGCCTATTGTTGAAGAGTGGTGCAAAATGAATAACATGTTCATTAATGCAAATAAAACAAAATGTTTGGTTACTGGAACAAAGCAGAAACTATCAATTCAGACTTATCAACCAAACTTAATAATAGATTCAAAAGTATTACAAAATTCTTCATGTGAAAAATTATTAGGTGTTAAAATTGACAGCACACTTAACTGGAGAAATCAAATTGACCAAGTTTGTGCTAATATATCATCCAGAATATACCTTCTTTCTAAAATAAAGAAATTTTTAGATATAAATGCAAGGAAAACATATTACAATGGATGTATTCTGCCCCTGATTGACTACTGCTGTATTATTTGGGGTGAATGTAAAAATGAAGGGATAGCAAGAATTTTAAAACTCCAAAAAAGGGCAGCAAGATTAATTCTAGATGCAGATCCTTTATCCCCCTCAGCCCCCTTATTTAAAAAACTTGGGTGGATGACAGTTGACAATAGAATAAAATACCACAAATATTTACTTCTATATAAATGTATGCGTATGGAAGCACCAATGTACCTAGTTCAAAAGTTTAAACTGAAATCAGATAATAATCCTTACTCCCTGAGAGGCGTCACTCAAGGTAATCTGATAGTTCCTAAGCCAAAAGCTGAGCTATTTAAGAAATCTTTTGTTTATTCTGGATCAGTGTTATGGAATGGACTACCACACAAAATGCGTAAAGCTCAAAACACTTATACTTTTAAACAAAGTATCAAGAAGTACTTAACACAGTCCTGATAAGATTATATTTTCTACAATGTATTTGTATATTCTTTTATTTTTATTTGTATTTGATTTTTTGACTACATGTACATCTTGAACAGCCTTATATCTTATCATGTTAGTAATATTACATTGAACTAATTGACTGTAAATTAACTTTGTGTAAATATCTGTTTTTGATTGTATTGTAATTTGTATGTGAGGGCCTCAGGGAAGATTAGTGTATTGTAACTAACTGAGTTTACCCTCTTTAAATAAAGAATTTATTATTATTATTATTATTGTTTATGCGCATCAACTTACTCAACTTGGTAGAGACATAAAAGCTCTATGACGTTGGATCAATGAAAAAAACATCAAATTATAACGTTCTATTTCACGTTTTTCACGGATTCCAACATGGTGTACGCTTAAAAAATACGTCTTCCTAGAAAAGTGGAATTAAGCGTCATGCTGATATCTCGTGGAAATTAAACACAAATGGATACAAAAGATACTACACTATCTGTAACCTTAACTTCATTCTAATAAAAAAAATAAAATATAAAATTTTGAACTCGGCTTTTTGCATTTGCGCCGATCTTCATTTCACTTGCACCGATTTTGTCTTTCATTGGCGCTGATTGTGTACAGGTAAATTATAGGTGAAAGTTATTTCTTTATATATAAACCTCTTTCAGCCAGTTGTACATATGTTATGAATTATTTCAAAGCACACCAATACATGCAATAAAATCCCTAAAAACGTAAAACAATGATCTATTATCTGTTCTTGCCGAGTATTTATATGCCACACATCTGATATATTCCTTTCTTGTCATTTCATCTTTTCTATACTTGTGGAACTTGCCAACAACGAAGTCCATCTTTTTCTTTCTCGTGTCAAAACGAAGTTCTCGAACAATATGACCAAAATAATCTTAAAGCATAAAGGGAACACTGTTTACATCTATATGTTACTAGTTTACATTCTAAGTTTACTGCATGTACATGTATTTACTCGTATAGCAAATATAGTCTCAGGGCTAGTGATAAAAAAATAAAATAGACGCTATTGAAGGAATCAAATCGGCTCAAATTAAAGATCCAATTTGGTTTTTTTTAAATCGGAGCAAATATCGTACGACTGCGTAACTTTGCACTGGAAAATTTTAATTCCTTACGCTTAGAATATGAACTTATGTGATTTTTAAAATTGAGTATTCAGAAGGTCAGGCCAATAAACAATAATTTCTAGAAATTTTAACATATTGGCAACATATGCATGTTGAGATTAGCTTATATCTGGATGATTCTCGTAAAATAATATCTTGCACTGAAGTTAAATTTTATATATACTGCTTAATTGACATAATTTTATAGTACAAATAACATTATGATAAAGCTACACTGTAGTTTGTCACTTGTTTCATTTCAAATTGTCTCAAGGAGAAATGATAAAGATTTCACCTAATCTCACTGAAGCTTACAGCTAATTTCCTAATGCATGTATAGCAAGACTTTGGTTAGCTTGCTTGCTTTGTATGTATATTTTGTAAAATTATATTGGGATAACGTCCAATTGAATTTAAATATCATATATAAACAGGTTTACATACCTATATATGAAGATGTCAATCTTAATTACAAAGCTTGAATAAACATTTATAAAACAAAGCAAGTCAACCAAAGTTTTACTCTACAAGCATTAGGAAATTAGCTGTAAAGCAAAATATATAAATAAAATTAATACTTATTGAATGTGAATTAAAATCAAAATTTACGGTGTTTAAAACTAAATTGTTGTAAATGTAATTTATGACAAAAACAATTGCTCCAAGAATAATATCCAATACAAATTTCTCACTTTCATAAAGCTACAATGCCGAATAGATTGAAAACAAATTTCGATTTTCAATGCCGGCAATCTATACACATAACCATGTCTTTGTTTTAATTTCCAAAATGAGCAATTTAGATTCATAATATTTTATCCTGTCTTGAGAAATACTTTGTAGTTTTCAACGGAAAATTATTTCTTAGATTCTAAATTAATTTTTGAATTAAAAACTTTTGGTATATCATATTTACTGTCTTGTTTAATCAAAACACGTGAGGTACTAATAACTGGGATCATATTTTATGATTGGTTAAATGAATGCAGAACGTTTTAGAATCAAAAACTTAATTGATATAATATACCTATAATTTTAGTTTCCTTATATTTTAAGTATTCAGAATTAATGAATTCACAAACTAGAGTAGATGGAATAATTTGTATACACTCGTCTTAGTGGGGAAACATAATGCTATAAAGAAGACCGTCTGTGCTTATGTCTGTCCGTCTGTCAACAGTAGCGAATGAGTGCGTTAGGGCAAACTTCTGAAATTGATGCAACAAACAAACCCACACATCTAGTCTAATATAGTCTGTAAGTAGCCAGTGCAATCATTCATTTATCTTTTTACTTTCAATAATTTTGCTAATGAGGGAAAGAGGACAAAAACAAACTTTCCTATCAAAAGCAGCGTAAAAGGTTATTTCGAACAATTTTTCATTCCGACAGATGGTGTATCTGAAGGTTAATATTGTGCGGCAACAACATCATGATATCTGATACCGGACATACATGTGATGTCTTGTATTACCTGATAATAAAGTAGGTGAATATAGTTGTTATTCTTGAAAATTTAAATTTGGGTTTCAAACGTCCAACTTGCGATTTTTTTCAAACAGTATGCCAGTAAGGAAAACTTGTACTATGACGTCAGATTCAATATTCTGAAGAAAGACAACTCTTTTCTTCAAAACGAACGAGAAAAATAACATGAAAATTACTCATAACTTTTTTGAAAGGTCAGTGCTTTATTTTGAAGAGTTCACATGGCACTTTCCTTTTTGAAATTTTTATAAAGAAATCACTGGTAGATATTTTTTAATACTGGAAACGTTTTTCATTTTTATGTTTTATTTTTGGCGGGAATGAAATAAATCATATTTTTAAAGATCAAAACAATAAGAGTCGGAAACTCTTGAACCTGTATTTGATAGACACAAATCTACTATTTTACGTGAAACAAGAATTATGCTTGTGGGTTTGATATACAGTGAAACTTCTCTAAACCGGTCCCTCTAAATACCGGTTCTCCCCCCAAACGGGCCAAATCAAGAAGTCCAGGCCTATTTGCATTCAATTAAATGGTTATGTAACCTTATAAAACCGACCATCTCTTTAAACTGGATACCGGCCGGTATTTTTGTATTTAGTTAATAAAAATCAATAAAATTTAACCTCATAAAACCGGCCTTGCAATCTGAAATCACTGATCCGTACATATAATTGTTTTGAAAACAAAAGATAATCCGGTCAATCAGGACACCTGTATGCTGACTGAACACTGTTTACCTGTCAATTTTGATTCAATACCCCATCTAATTATGTTTTGACAGATTGGTATTACTACACATGCTATTCTAAAGTCGTAATGAATTATGAAACAGTGTTACAAGTACATTGATGTAGAACATTTTGATAAACTATCAAGGAAATAATATTGGTGTATGGTATTTTTATTTATTATTCCTGCAAAATGAAAAAATAAAATAAGATGAAATAGAAGTTGTAGCTGTATTCTATGATACATATAATATATAAAACTAAAATTCACAAAGGAAAACATATATTTTGATTAAGGTAAAATACATTTTCACATATACTCAAGCACCCATATTAAAGGGAAGTAACTCTTGGTGATTTCAATTTTCAACAAACCGGCCACCCCTGCAAACCGGCCGTTTTTCGTGGTCCGACGGGCGGCCGGTTTTCACTGTTTCACTGTAATGGTATTTTTTGATAGTTTAGATAACAAGCAAATATCATGTTAGTATTCGGGAAACCATGAAACTGAGGTTGCCATAGTGACAAAACCAAGTCGGTGACCCCCATTTTTTTCATCACATTTTGTTCCTCAAACCATGAAATTCCTTCACACAAAATTTTAAGGAAAAATCACTGGTAGAGCTGAATAGGCTGTTTGGTCTTTAATTTCAAGAATTCTAGCAATTCTAACTCCTTTACATAGTAATTATACTCCAACAAGTAGTTTTTCTTAACCATGGTATTTTGAACCCCCTGCAATGATATATTGAACCCACCCCATCCATCCCATTTACACCTCCAATTTCAAAATTTCTAGCTATTATAAATCTTTTACATAGTAATAATACTCCAATAAGTAGTTTATGTATTTAACATGCTGGAAAAGATATTTTGAAAATTTTACTTTTTAAAGGACAAGGTACAATAAGGCCTGTTTTTGGCCCCCCTATTATCTCATTTTCTAAATTTTGTTTTGGAAAGCTACTTTACACGTTAAAATATTCCCTTAGGTTTGAAGTTTAAATAATTAAAGCAATCAAGCATCATGGTCTAGTTATAATGCTTCAATAAGTATTTTGAATGAAATTTTGTTGGTAAAGACTACAGAGCACTTATACCAAGCAAAGATATTTCTTTTATATTGACCTCCCTTTCTTGTATGAATGTTTTTTAATCTATGATAAACTTTAGAATTATGTATAATGTTCTAATTTTCATCTAGGATGAAAAAAACAGGGGGGTTCAATTTACCATAGGGGGGTCAATTTTCCATACAGGGGGGTTCAATATACCATAGCGGTATTTTGACCCCGGGGTCAATTTACCATGGGGTTCAAAATACCATATGACACCGAAAGTACAAAGAATGTGGACTTCTGGAAATTAATAAAAGTGGAAGTAGTATCAATTAAAATACATTAATAGAAAGAAATTATTGTGGGGTTTTCATCATTGCGAAAAATGCGACAAGTTGTAAACGCAATAATTTAAACTCTCATTTTGAAATAATTTATATGAATTAAACAGAATCATAAAAACTAAAATCGCATTTAAGTCTAAAATGACAAAATGGCAATATTAATGCACGCAATAATTTCTGAATTTACAGTATCCCGATTTATTTCTATAATTTTGATGCTGTTTGCCATGTACCGTTATTGTGTATATGTGCAGCAGGTGTGCAAAGTCATTGTGTTACTTGAATTTATAGTGTCTAAGTAATGTTGGCATGATTGAGTACTGTCTGTCCTTACATTTGATATTCATTTTATGTGGTTAGACTCGTAGGTTAAGCCCCCACAGAGCTTGCATGTTTCAAGATTGTATGTATGCCTCTTCTGTTCTGACCTGACGTTGACAACAGTTGTTTTTATACTGGTGGTTGTTACATCTTTTATATTGTGATCGTTGTTTGTCTGGACACATGTTTATATTGGTTTCCATTACTTATGGCGGGGCACATGTTTATATTGGTTTCCATTTGTTATGGCGGGACACATGTTTATATTGGTTTCCATTTGTTATGTCTGGACACATGTTTATATTGGTTTCCATTCGTTATGGCAGGACACATGTTTATATTGGTTTCCATTTGTTATGGCAGGACACATGTTTATATTAATTTCCATTTGTTATGGCGGGACACATGTTTATATTGGTTTCCATTTGTTATGGCGGGACACATGTTTATATTGGTTTCCATTAGTTATGGCGGGACACATGTTTATATTGGTTTCCATTAGTTATGGCGGCTGTTTGCCCATAGAATCTTTCTGCTATATTATAATTTTGAAATATATGCCAAATTAGGTTGAACTGTATACATACTAGTTGTCATTTTGATTTAACATTTCTTGGATTACTTATTTGACTTGTTTCTGATTGTTTCTGATTGTTAATGATCTATTTGCCTAATAGCTTTAATAATTAGTGTGACTGTTTATCGGCATGTTCAGTTAATCATAGCATACTGTAAATTTCACTGTTTCTTTTGGAATAATTGGACATTTATAGTATAATTTTTTGGACATTTGCAACAGAATTTAAATAGAATCTTTCTACCATTAATTGCATGTTAGTGGTTGAAGTCACTTTCAACACTATTTATTATATCATGGCGGTCAGTTTTTATTGATGCAAAGTGGGAGTGTCAAGAGAGAACCACTGACCTCTGTTTAACAACCATTTGGCTAAAAGCTTTAATTCTTAGTAAGATACAGCTTGTTATATTTGTAGTTGACCAAACTTTACAACTGTCACTTTGATTCAACAACTCAGAACTCTTGTTGCAGCTATTGGACTATGCTTATCCTGTTACAGCATATTTACACCATATTTTGATATGTGGTTGCATATAATGAAAGAAAGATCCCTGTTGGAGTTAAGGTCATTAGGGTGAAGGTCTGACGATCACAATGACTAGGAGTAAATATTGTAAAGACAATAATCTATATGAAATCATAAGAGAAAAAAAATCATACCTAAATAAACAGATAAATATGGTTTAGGTGGTGTATGTGAACTGGGTTTTACCATAGATTCTTTAATTTGTATAAAAAATACTAAGTATTTAACATTTATTGACATTTCTATTAATTTCAGAATGTGGTTCTCCCTCTACTATTACACCAGAAGGAAATGATCCTACTGTTGAAACTTTCAATATAAATACACAGACTGCATTGTTTATATTGGATCTCTCCTTGGACTATGAGGTTGTAACACTGTTTACTGTTGTTATTCAAGTGGAAGATAATGTGAAAACTCCTCCATCAACTGGAACCATCACAGCTAAGGTTGGTATCTCCTCCATCAACAGGAACCATCACAGTTAAGGTAAGTATCTCTTCCATCAACTGGAACCATCACAGTTAAGGTTGGTATCTCCTCCATCAACAGGAACCATCACAGTTAAGGTTGGTATCTTCTCCATCAAGAGGAAGCATCACAGTTAAGGTTGATATCTCTTCCATCAACTGGAACCATCACAGTTAAGGTTGGTATCTCCTCCATCAACAGGAACAATCAAAGTTAAGGTTGGTATCTCCTCCATCAACAGGAACCGTCACAGTTAATGTTGGTATCTCCTACATCAACTGGAACCATCACAGTTAAGGTTGGTATCTCCCCCATCAACTGAAACCATCGCAGTTAAGGTTGGTATCTCCTCCATCAACAGGAACAATCAAAGTTAAGGTTGGTATCTTCTCCATCAACAGGAACCGTCACAGTTAATGTTGGTATCTCCTACATCAACTGGAACCACCACAGTTAAGGTTGGTATCTCCTCCATCAACTGAAACCATCACAGTTAAGGTTGGTATCTTCTCCATCAACAGGAACCATCACAGTTAAGGTTGGTATCTCCTCCATCAACTGGAACCATCACAGTTAAGGTTGGTATCTCCTCCATCAACTGGCACCATCACAGTTAAGGTTGGTATCTCCTCCATCAACAGGAATCATCACTGTTAAAGTTGGTATCTTTTCCATCAACAGGAACAATCACAGTTAAGGTTGGTATCTTCTCCATCAACAGGAACCATCACAGTTAAGGTTGGTATCTCCTATATCAACTGGAACCATCAATGTTAAGGTTGATATCTTTTCCATCAACTGGAACCATCACAGTTAATGTTTGTATCTCCTCCATCAACACAGATGTGTCTTCTGTCTTATCACTTTCATAATCGAGGACTTTATGCTCAGTCTTATTCTTGACAAAGTTTTGAGACTTTCATTCAATGTAACCCTATTTTCCTTTGTTTACTTTTAATGTAAGGATTTGATTAATTATAAAGTTATCTATCTGAAATTAGATCAAACTGAAATATTTAATTGTAATGACATTTGTTGAAACGTTGTACCTCTTTATGTTAGTTGTAGATTCTGTCAGGGATGGATAGACATACTGAGCCACATCAGGAGTTAAATGGTCTCTCAATTTCCATCTTTTCTAAACAAAATATATATTTTTCTTGTTTATAGATAAAGATTAAAGATGTAAACGACAATTGTCCAGAGCTGACACAGACAACTTTTGATTTGATTGCTGTTCCATCTATGCAGCTTTCAGCTATTGCACAGCTTTTTGCTAGTGATGTTGACAGTGATTTTAACAGCTTGCTGGTGTTTTCCTTGTCATCCATTTCAATCAGGTAAAAATATAAAACATTTACACATGCATAAAACCATACAAGCAACAGTCAAGTAAAAGATCATTATAAATTAAAAAAGATTTAACATAATAAATTTTTTATACGACCGCAAAAAATTTTGTGGTTGTATATTGTTATCATGTTGTAGTCTGGGTCGTCCGAAGGCATTTGGTTTCCGGACAATAACTTTAGTAGAAGTAAATAGAAATCTATGTAATTTAAACACAAGGTTTATAACCACAAAAGGAAGGTTGGGATTGATATAGGGGTTATGGTCCTAGTTGAGGAAGTAGGGTCCAAAAAAGGGCCCAAATAAGCATTTTTAGCAGTTTTTCTAGTTTCCAGACAATAACTTGTGGAACGGTATATGAATCTCTCTGAAATTATGCCACAAGTTTCCATACCACAAAGGGATGGTTAGGATTGACTTTGGGAGGTTATGGCTAAAACCATTAAGAATTAGGGGCAAAAAAAGGAAAAACAAGGGTTTCCTGGTTAATGGACAATTTAAAAGCCTTGGAAGGGCGGTAATACAAACACATTTAAAGTACAATGTTGTGTATGTTTGGATTACCTCCCTTACACTGCTTTTAAATTATGTATATAGAAATGTTGCATTGTCTTGAGGTGATTAGCTCAATTTATTTTTAGTAGTTACCATTAAAGGAATAATAATTTTAGCCATGATTATGTATATCATTTTCTATTTTAAGACTTTTATGATGTATCTGAATTGGTAATTATGGTTGCAAACTCCATTGGAAATTTGAATTCAGATTATGACCATATCGTGAGGGGAAGAATTATTTTTTTTGGAAAAGGGGGGAGGGGCAATTTTCAGATTTCAGAAATTAAGAAGAAAATTTCTTCAAATATTTTATTTTTTTGGCAAAAAAGGGGGGAAGGGTGGTCAATTTCGAAACAGCATAGTGTATTGCACAAAAGCAAAAAATTGAATATAAATTCAAATTATATAATCAATTCTGAGTTCTTTGACTACAGTTATTCTGTGTCAGAAACATGATTATGTGTCAAATATTTAATTACAATCCAAATTCAGGCCTGTATTAAGTGTGAATATTGTACGTGTCCATGTTCAGGGTTGGACCTTTGCGGTCGTATCCAGCTGCCCTCAGCGAAGCATTTAATTAAATTATTAAAATACAAGTAAAATGAAAAAAGTAAAAACTCTGTGTATATATATGGGCGTTTTTCAATAAAAGTGTGATTTTCAAATCTAAAAAAATGGAAAAATTAACTTGTCCAAAATTTTATTACAAGAGTAATTTTGAATACCTCTAGTATAGAAATGAAAAGTGCAATCTTAAATACTCTTTAAAATGATTTTGTTTTCATAATTTTATATACTGTTTCCACTAATAACTTGAATTTAGCTTGAACGGACAAAAACGCATTAACGGCATTTAAAAAAGATTAATGAAAATTGAATAAAGATTGACAAAAATTAAAAATTATTTTTAATGCATTTCAATCCATATCAAATCATTTTAATACCAGTCAAATAGATTCCCTTGCGGTCATTCAAGTTAATTTTGAGATGTGGTTAAACTGCATCAAACTAATTAGCCACGCCCCCGTTAAACGGAATCAAACTGATGTTAAGTCCTTTTAAACTTTAAAGTGTCCGCCTTTTTGTAAGGTAAATCACTCAAGCGGTACAGCATCCGCGTGTATCTATCGTTTAACCGTTCTGAGCGTTATCGATTTTAGTCAGAAAAGTAAAAATGTACCTCTTACAAATATTCACATTAAAATTAAATAATGACAAATACATGTGTAAACTAAGTTTTTTATAGTTAATGATGCCAGATTTTTAAAATGCAGCGAAAAGTATAATTAGTTCTTTTTTTTATTTGTGAACACGCAGCAGCTTTTGAGAAAAAAAAAAAGTGACTGTGATAAAAAAAAATTATTTAGCTTGAAATGAAACGAGAAAGCTGGTAGTTATTTAATAGCCAATAAAGGGACCAAAATGAGCATGTTTGATGAATGCCAATGGATATTGTATGCAAACATTAATCTATATGTAGGTATCGTCTGATCAAAAATGTAATTTCGTCGAGAATATGCAATAATATTTGCCACGGTACGTTAAGCAAATTCAATTGAACCAATTCCGTCTTGAACTTTTAAAAATTCACATTAAAACATATCTTTTTTTATTTTGGTCTAATTCGCCTGGAAAATTAAAATTTCATTTAGCTTAAACAGTTTTAAATGCGCCCCGTACTCGTATATCGGATACCAAATATACATGAACACTGTTTGTCTTGAGTCTGATAGTGCTCTGCTAGTCATTACTAAATTCATACGTGTAAAACTATACAATTTTACTCAACTGCCTTCAACACAAAGTCTTGGCTAACACCCAACAGCAAGCTATAAGGTGCCCCAAAATGACCAGTGTAGAACCATTCAAACGGAAAAACTAACGGTCTATATATTCGACTTTTGAAATACATAATCAAACATCAACCACTAAACAGCAGGTTAGGGCAGATGCAAACAAATGCAGCGGAGTTCAAAAGCCCAAATACACGAATAATTCTCGAGACTTAAGTGACATTGTTTTGATAAGATCAGAACCTTATATGTGTTAAATTTTAAGCAAAAGATATAAGTTTGTAAGAAAAATATTGACGTACCAATTCTAATAGCTAAGAAAATTTCCTTTTGCTAAACGATGATAACATTTTAACATTTTGGTATACCTTATAATTAATAATCTATTTCTGAAACGACTTCTCGCCTTGAACATGTATGAAATTTTTGCCACTGGATGTTAAACAACCATTAATCAATCATTCAAATTGTGCTTTAAAAATGAATTAAGCCGCAAGTGTATCCATCAATGAGTGCTGTTGTTTGTTTGTCCATTTAACATATACTGAATTCGTTTTTGTCCAGAATTATATTCCTTAGAAGAGTTCAAGTATGTAAATAAATTCATAGGGTATCATGTGCTAGTTGAAATTTTTCAGTGAAATCAGTATTGTGTGTCCAACGTTCTTTCATGCATATCAAATGTTGTATCCACTTTTTGCTGTTCGTAGTCTGTTAGTCCTCGGTCTCCAAACTTTAGCACACACTTATGTAATGACCAATCTCGAAAGGGGGGACATTTTTTTTTTATTAAAAAAAAAACTAAAACAATTTCTTTATTCTATCATTCAATTAACCGATGTACACCTAAGATTTTCAACTATAGATGTTGAATTAAAAAAAATAATAAGTCCCAATGTATTTTTATGGCAAACATATCTAATGGGTTATTTTCTCATGCAAAATAATTATTTTTTCATTTTTTCAAGATAATAGTGTTATCAGATATGTTCTTTGACACGTGTCTTACGGGTCACCGATTTTCGGCAAAATCAAAGAAAATCAGCAAGTGCCTAAACATTAGTTTTAAGAATGTTGATGCTGTATTAATATATGGAACATGCATATGTCTTCATACCAAAATAGAGTACTCACATTTAATTTTCTTGTAAATAAAGTTGGGAATGAATATGGGGATAATGGACGTCATACTCAACTCCGAAATATATAAAAGAATCTAAAATTAAAATTATACAAGACTAACAAAGGCCAGAGGCTCCTGAATTGTGACAGGCGCAAAAATGCGGCGAGGTTAAACATATTCATATTTTTTTTCGAATTGTCTTTTTTTGTGAAATTATTCAGCAACAAATTAATCTATTTATTTTTAATACAATGAAACAAGATTTTTTTAATGAAATGAAGTATTTTTTCGTCCCTCATATTCAAAGGAAATAAACAATTTGTCAAAAAAAAAAAAAAAAAAAAAAAAAAAACTCCGCCCATCCTTCTCTCTACCCCCCCCCCCCCCCCCCCCCCCCTTAAATCCAGAAAAGAATGAATTGACATTTTATTAAGAATAAATGTAAAATCATAGATAAACTGCTATTATATTCTTATTAAGATCTACATTTTAACAGATTCGGGGACTAATATTTCTCTAAAAGCCCATGCATCCACTAATATTTGTGTGTTTTTTGTTTCAAGTTGTTTCAATTATCATTTACATGTATGAGGCTATAAATGGGACCACCATTTATAAGTATATGAATGGGGTTTACAGATTTGAGAATTATGGGGAAACTAAAATAATATGAAGCGAGGCAAAAAAAAAAACTAGATAACAGAATATAGAGGTGGTGTAACCCGAATAATTCAGTCGTTATATTCCGCTGATCTACGATTACTACATAAATTCACAATTTTATGAATGTTGACATTGATAGAAATAGTTTTTATAACGCCCGTCAATTTTGATGGGACGTATTATGGTATACAAATGTCCGGCGTCCGTCCGTCTGTCTGTCCGTCTGTCCGTCTGTCTGTCCGTCTGTCTGTCCGGCGTAAACATGTCGCACCGTAACTTGAGAATGACTTATCCAAATTTCATGAAACTTAACATAGTTGTTTCTTATGATGGTCAAACGATCTGTATACTTTTTGGTGAAAATAAGATTAAAACTTTTTGAGTTACGGGACTTAGTAACTAAAACAGGTGTGGGTTTTTTTTCACATGTCGCGCCGTATCTCAAAAACAATTTTGGTTATTGCTTAAAACTTTGCACACTTCTTAGTTATATTTATCTTAAGATCTGTATACTTTTTGGTGATGATTCAAAATTTTATTTTTGAGTTATTGAGTATTTTGTAAAAAAAAGGGGGAGGGGTTTTTCACATGTCGCGCCGTATTTCATAAACAGTTTATGATTATTGCTTAAAACTTTACACACTTCTTAGTTATATTAATCTAAAGATCTGTATACTTTTTGGTTTTGATTCAAAATTTTATTTTTGAGATATTGATTTTTTTTTTTTTTAAAGGGGGGTTTTCACATGTCGCGCTGTATCTCAAAAACGATTTATGATTATTGCATAAAATTTTACACACTTCTTAGTTATATTAATCTAAAGATCTGTTTACTTTTTGGTTTTGATTC